TGTTTTTCCGCTATAAAAACTGAACTAGTTGAGCTAGGATAGTGAAATTTCGCGTGTGCCGAGCCAAGAACATACCTATTAAGCAGGGGCGCCCACACGGGTTTTACGGTGGTGCGGCCGCACCGCCGTGAATTCAGAAAAGAGGGAGGTTAGGAGGAGGAGAGGGAGGCAGGGAGGTAAAAGGGAGGGAGGGAGAGAAAAGGAAAGAGAAGAAAGGAAAGGGAAAGAAGAAGAGAGAAGGAAAAGGAGAGACCTTATATTGGGAAAAATTCGAAACTGGTCAAAAAGAGGGAGGTTCGAGGTCCCCGCACCACCGTCCTCAAAACTTGTGGGCGCCCCTGCTAATAAGCCTGCAAAGTCTCAGCCAGATCGGCCGAGCCGTTCAGGAGGAGTAGTGTACACACACACACACACACACAGACAGACAGACAGACAAAACTTTTCAATCGCACTGGAGTAACGGGCTTCGCTATCGCTCAGCCAATAACAGCCATGGAGATTCGATTTTACCGTGTTTGATTTACTCGACAAGAAAAAACACCTTGAGACATACTGTTGATTCTTTCCGCTTTCCCCACAGTGGATCGGCCACCGGTAGCAGACGGCTGACTCAGAACTTCTGTTTCACAATAGAATAATCTTGCTGGTTGAAATGTAAGTGTACATACTGACTAATAATGTCGTTCCGATCATAGCACATCACTGTGATACGTAATATTTATAACAGGACAAGAAAAACGAAGGTTTGTAGAGCGTCGTCTGCACTGACGTGGCGCACGGGTGAAGCGCACAGTCGCACTGCCTAGTTACAGTCGACGCCACTAGGGCGCGCTTGCGTCGCGGCGGGCGGCATTCAAAACGAGGCGGCGGACCGCACTCGCGTGTGTGTCTGCGTGCCGCCACCAGGTGCGACCCCGGCGGTGGCGCACAGGTACAGACCTGAATTGGTGAGGTGACAAAGTCCCAGTCACAGAGGGGCGGGTCCGGAAGGGGGGGGTTTGGTTGGGTTAGGCTCCGCCACGGAGACAGGGCGGGTCCAGGGTAGGTTGGGCCCCTCGCGCGACTTAGGTTCGGTTGGGTTAGGCCCGACCAAGATGAGGACCTGCTCAATCCTGCTAAGGTTCACTTAGGTTAGACTCGTACAAGATACCGATCACCCAAAATTAGGTGCGATGGGTTTACCCCCCTCCACTTTGCCTACCCGTCAGATTTCCACACCCTTACTACTGAGACAGGGGCGGGTCCAGGGTAGGTTAGGCCCCTCGCGCGACTTAGGTTCGGTTGGGTTAGGCCCGACCAAGATGAGGACCTATGCTCAATCCTGCTAAGGTTCACTTAGGTAAGACTCGTACAAGATACCGATCACCCAAAATTAGGTGCGATGGGTTACCCCCCTCCACTTTGCCTATCCGTCAGATTTCCACAACCCCAAGATAGCCCGTCAGATTTCCACACCGTTACTACTACCCTATTATGTAGTTTCCCGTTTCTCAAGTACTAACTGTGATGTTATGCACCTTTTCACCTTTCCGCGCGTGGCCTGAGCCCTCTGCAACAAAATCCTGCCGCGGGTTTGACGCTAGGAACCTCCTTCGCTGAATGGCAGCACAAACAAGGTGTACAGGGCAGACTGTCCCAAGTTGCCCGCGGTGTCCCAAGTTACCCCCGTTGACGGTAAGGGAGTATGGGGCGATTTGTAACAGATTTTGGAATTCTCTATACAAAATTAAGAACATTCTGCATATCGGTGTCAAACTTGTGCCAGTTGAATAGTCTGGCCCTTCATCTAGACTGTGCAGCTCCGTTGGATCAATCTGGAGTCCGTAATCTTTGAAATCTAAGACGCTTTCCAAACCCTTGCATGCTGTTACGAATCGCCCCAGCATGGGGTGATTTGTAACAGCCATGGGGCATAACAGCCTACACATTAAATGAAACATCGTCGGGAATGTTATCTCCTCCAGCAGTTGTTCTTCGGATGTCCCCGGGTGGAAGGAACTGAAGTTCTAATTATATCTGGGAATTGCAACTTAACTATTTGTTAGACTGTACGCCACATACTTTCTGTTTATAAAATAACTTAAGTTTTACTGTATTCAATAAGTGCAGCCTTTTTGCAGACGAACAGCAGTCAGACTGCAGACTGACCGATGCAGTTTGACTGTAGTTCAACTGTAATTTAACTGGTGAAACTGCAGTCTAACTATAGTTAACTATACTTGAACTGCAGTCTGTTTACAGGAAAACTGGTAGTTTTTTCGGACAGAGCAGTCTTGTCTGCAGTTTTAATCATGGTTTCATCTCGCCAGTATTACAGAAGCTTTAACTCGAGTTTTATATTGAAGTTAAAATTATTTTCGAGAAGTATTTTCTGAATTTTAGTCACAAGTGTGGATTTGGAAATCACGTTCAATTTAGTTCTGCAAGCCCCCACTGCCGACCCTGGCCCTACTCCTTCCATGCCCTTTTACGTAGTTGTTTGTAATGCTGTGCCATCTCCGCAATGAGAGTGGAACCCGGTTAAAGGCCGGGCGGGCAAGTCGGGTGGACCAGTCCAGGCCACTCGACAAGACTTAAAATTGGAAGGAGCTAGTATTGACTAACATCGCCTTCATACGTTACCACTGCATGTCACCGCAGACTGCCTAGTAAGGTAGGATAGTCTGAAGAACCGAGCGAATCATGCGTGGACCCAACCTAATTGTCGCCCGTAGACGCCATCGAGTGCTAACACGGAAATCCGTTTTTCTCCACTTCAGTGCAATATTCTGATTCAAATTTTTCTCTAACGCCCTAAAGCAGATATTTACTGAAGTGGCAGATGGTGTAACTTGCAAAAATAACTTAATTCACTAGCCTAAATAAGAAATCCCGTTTGACAAACACTCACAGCGATCCAAGCGCCACCTAGCGGCAGGTCCTTGAAACCTGGCCTTGCAGCTCGGCGGCTGACAGTAGACCACACGGTGTGGTGGGATGAGGATTTTTCCACAGTTTGCGCACTACCCCGACGTCTAAGAATATCGCAATAATTTTTATGCTGAACGTTAAATTTTGGCTTCACCCCGCCTT